CGCTCCACCCCCCCCCCCCCCGCCCAGATTTCCCTTTTTGCATGGCTGATGCAAAGCTTTGCTCTGGGATTCAAAAGAGGGGAAGGTGGGCATCAGTGAGGGGCATCAAAATAGAGTTCGGCACTTCTAAATGTTCAATAGTAGAAACCAAACTCCGCAAGCGCCTGCTCCGAAGCTCCCTGGCCCCTTTTGATCAAGTATTTTGCAATGCCAAGAGCTTCTCATAATGAGGGTCTAATTGCTTGTGCCAGGTGGGGTCAAAGAAGAACATGCCTTTCTCAAATTAATCTGTGTAAATTAAAGATAAAGAGTAAAGGGACAGCAAAAGTTTTATTTCTTGACCTGAGAGATGGAGTAGTTAATTAGGAGTTCTTACCATAATTATCAAGGTCGCCGGTCCTATAAAGCTCCAAATGAAGTAAGTGTCAAGTCGGAGCCAACATCTGTAATGAAACACAGGGGAGAGAAGGCATTCAAGGACTGCACCCAGGATATACATCAAGAGTGAGCGAGTGACAGAGAAGAATGTGAGCTGCAAAACACGCCGGTGGGAGACAGGAAATATTACATTGCTTGTTCATTTAAATGCTGAATTATGTGCCCAATTTCTGACAGCGCTATTGATGGAGTAAGATAATTACCTCTGGAGGAAGCAGGGAGAAAATGGCACAAGGCCTAGTTGCTAAGGCTTTCTGCATCTGTCAGAAAAAAAGCCTTAAAACTGTGGGTTTTTTTAAGGAAGTGGTCTGATGAGCATCCACGGAGCTTCTTCTTCGCTTTAAGCTCCTCTTCCCTCTCAGGCTCTGACGCAACACAAGCTGTCTGTCAACTGTCAAGCAAGATGACATTTCTCCAGCAAGCAGATCAGAGCAAATTTGGTGCAAATAGGAAGCACGATTTGGATAACAGAAGGCTAAGGTTTAATTAGGTTCAGCAACTTCCCCTTTAGAGCGTTTTATTTCCCTGAACCTCCGGAGTGTTTTGTTTCCACTAATATTTCAAGGGTTGCATATGGTCTGTGCTATCACATGAAGTTGATTCATGGCCTAAAACTAAATTATTAATCGCTTAATTTCAACTGCATTTAATACTCCCCACATTTTTTAAGGCCCCTGGGAAATTACATTTCCATTCCTAGTTCATTCCAGGCGACAGGAAGATAAAATGGAAGTGACTTGTTACAAGACAGACGAATATAAATTCCAAGAAAGTTTTGCACAATGTTTAAAATAATAATATCTTGTCGTGTTTGCAATGCTGCAAATCACAGCTCCGTTTATACACAGAGGACTAAGAATGCATAAAACCACTCGTACACTAAACATCCGATGGAATTTCATAATTAGGCAAGTGACAGGAACTGTATATATGAATTTATCATGGTGGAAGAGATGGCAGTTCTTACAAACGACAGCTCTAGTGCATGTGCTGAATGTTTTTTCCCTTCCAATGGACTTTGCAACAGACAGAAAGGCCTGTGTCAGCAGCCCCGCAGAAGAGATCAGCAGGAGCCACGTGCCTAGAGAGTAAAACATGCCCCGAACCTCTACAACTGGGAGAAGCTAAGATATGAATAAATTCAAAGATGTAGATAAAGCTTCTCACTTCCCTCCCTGACCATATAAATTTCAGGTCTCGTCAGTGTTGAAGATGTATTGAGATATATATATACACATATGGTTGTACCACTATTTGTCGCAAATTAAAATACCGTCACTTCTGTGACTGCCACCCCTGAACTGCCTCTGCAGCTGTTCATCCAAAATCTTCGTGTGACAGCATCAAAATCTTGATGCAAGAGGCAAACACAGGCTTTCAGAGAGATAGCAGGGAAATCTTGCTTCCTCTGCGGCTGCTGAAGTTCAAGGTGATTTAGATGCAGCTGGTAATGGAACAACACGAGTCACTAGAAACTATTTGAGTCTGATTTCCTATAGGAAAGGGTTTATGCGATCATGACATCTGTGTATCACCCATAATAACATCTGAAATGTCACCCAATTGCAACTAGATTTGACAGAGGAATAGAGGTTTCAAGGATAATGAAGTCCTTGTAAAAAGTCCCCCCCAGCCCTGAAAAAAGACGTCTGCATAGCAGCAGCTCACACATTACACAGCATTTCAAACCTACCCCATCCCTTAGGAAAAAAATTTAACTAGTGCTTATGCCTCGGCTGCCATATAAATACTCCCTGATATAAATCAGGGAATGCCCCACAATTTTTTTCTACCGATAATAAGAGTGCTGGTGTGCGGGAGAGGACTTAGAGGGTTGTGTTGTTTTTTTGGGTTTTTTTAATAAATTAAAACATTTTGAATTTTTTTTGCCAGTTTAACATTCCAAACATCACCCAGCCCCTGCTGCACAGGAGTTGGGAGCAGTGTATTTTAATTGCCAAGCAACTTAGTTTTCCTTCAGCATAAAGAGTGAGCTGGGTCTTGAAAAGCCCAGGGAAGAGGAAAGATATAAACCCTCTCTCTACTCCTTAAAGCGTGATGACCAGCCATATGGTCACATCTGATGCAGCTGGTTTTGAATGTATATAGATTGGGGCATGGGGAAAATTGGTGAAAGTTGAAATACAGCATGAGGGAAAAGCCATGCTGGGCTGAGCAAAGAAGCGTGAAACAACTGGTTTCCTTTACAGCCAGCCAAATGGATGAAATTTACCACCCTATTCCCCTAAAAATATATCTCTTTGGTTGTGGAGCACAATCCAATGACAAGAGATGGGTGCTGTGGATGGGAAACAGCTGAGGGGCCAGGTCCTGCCCTCGGAATAACCGGGTGACAGGCATAGAGCAAAAGGGTCCCCTTCCAAAGAGGCACCTTCATCTACACAAGAGTACAGCTTGGGAAAAGCAGAGAGTACTCTTTTTATTGCCTCTCAGTACGCTTTAAAGAATGTGATGTCATTTTTTACTTGTTTCAATAGAAAAACTGCCTTTCTGTGAAACTATGTATGACACTCAATCTTGGGTGACTAAACACAAAGCTGCAGGACTGTCTCTAATCTGCAGAGGGACTTTAAAAAGATGGGTTTTTTGTGGTCATCAGGAAGAGATGCAACTTTGAACCCCTTTTAAGTCATACCTCATAAAAAATGCAAATTAAGATCAAAACATCAAAACACAGGCATCCCGCCAATTGCGTTGAGGAGCTGTAAATTGCTAATCAGACAAGTACCACACTGAGCTTTTCTTTCCTTAAAAGACAAAAACCCACAGCACAATGAGCTGCATAAATGAGCTCCTCAAAACAAGGAAGCAATCAGGCAACTCACTTCCCAAAGTTGCTAATCTTGGGCTGCCAGTTACTTCTGACCCCCCACACGCAGCTGCACCATGAACACAGACTCGCTGCATTACAAGTTTAAACTCTGCTGCCACTAAGCAAATGAGCTGCTTCAGGGCTCAGTACAAGGCAGAGCGGATTATCTGAAAGTCTGGTTATGCAGAGAATACTGCTCAATATGCCACTGATTCTTCCAAGAGTCACACCAGCGTATTCAGTGCTCGTAACGAGCTCTGTGGCTCTGCTTTCCTTTACTTTTTTAATTTCCTCCTTTTCCACAGTGACAAGTTGCTATATTCACCTAAAGCTTTTCCCAAGTAATAAAGACTACAAAGGGTTTACTCTATTTTCTGCATGAAGAGAAATCAAATACTAAACTATCCCTGGTGTGCATTAAACATAACCAATAAACAATCACTAGCTGCCATTGGACCATAACATTTGAAGAGCCCTAAACATATCATGCTGTTCATGGAAGCTCAGCAGTTTGCTTCATATGGCTACACAGCTTCCTTCTCTGGGTGCTGTAATGGGATGTATATGCACAAGACATGCCTTTCAAGGGTGCAATATAGGTTCTGCTTAACACAGTCCAGCGTCCAATTGTTCAAGCTTCCTCCTCCAAATACCTGGCATGAACACTGAAAATAAAACAAGTTCAGTGGAGCCACCCAAGACAGATAGTATTGTTAGAAGCTGTTTTCCGAGCAACATTAACATGCATAAAATGTCAGCGGTTGGCTGATGGACTTGGAGGCTTTGTACGTACACCGGGCTTTCATTTTGCTTTCTGACAGCTGGATTGCTTACCATGTACAACCTGCTTTATAGCATACCAAAAGGAGGGAGAGGGGGGAAGAAATAATAGAGAGATCCCTGCGACAATGAATTTGATCACCAGTGGATGAATATACCTACAAGTATATTTTCTAAAATATATTGAACCATCCAAAGCATAGCTGCTTTCCTCTGAGATTTGTAAGAGGCATTGATATGAAACCCAGGACAGTATGGCAATATGGAATAGCTTCTTGCTGTTGACTTTGGGCAGCCTCCTACTGAAGTGAGTCCTCTCAAAGGGAGGATACTAAAGTCTTAATCCAGCTTTTACTGAATTTTAGACACAAGTTATTTTCAAACACTAACAACAACTGCAAATGCTTTTTTCCCTCTGCATTTCGTGGCATTGCCTACCATGATGCCTGACATCAGATCTGGCCAGGAGATGGATGGATTTGGTTAACACACAGGAAAATTATGTAACTTTTTAAAACTGCAGTCCCAGTATCTTCTTTTTTGCAGCAAAACTTGAGATGTGGTCATTTAAGACTCAGCAACCGAAGACCTGGCCCGTAAGAAATGGTCATTTGGAAGTCCATGTGAGCATTGTCAGAATCGCTTCGGCAATGTTGGGGGACCACACTGTCTGCAGTAGGGCTTCCTGCTTTTCACCTTTATTTTAGAAATTACAATCAGAACAAGGTGAGATGCAACATTTCTGATTTATTAGGGGCAAAGGGCCAAACACAGCTCAGTTTGCTCACATGAATAGTTCCTGCTGGCCTGAACGGGATGGTCTTTTAATGGAATCACTATACTGCTGCTTGTTTACAAAAACAAATTAACCTCCTAATATGAGTGGTTTGAACTGCTCTCAAACAAAAAAAAAAAAATAGTAAAAGAAAAAGGATCAATTCCAATCCTTGGAATAATTAAGTGTAAGAGAGTATCTTTACTGGGCAGCTACTCCAAAACGCCAATATGAATACTAGGACATGGGATGCTTCAGCAAATTGCAAGCACTGAGTGATAAGCAAAGAAACAGAGAGAGGAACAACTGCTTGTTCCTGGCTATGTAATCTGGGCGTGTGTAACAGAAGGGTTGGATTTAGAAAGGAAAATGAAATCAAGAAAACCTACACTGGCTGTCTAAGCAAATCATTCTGAGATGTATGAATGGTGGCACCAAATGCCAGGCAAAAAACAAATAACACTAACAGCTCCATAAGTCCTGCTTAAACAAATGCAATAAATAATGGAGGGAGGCAAGTAATATATTCCAGAGGATGTTTTACAAAACCTGGCAAAACCAAGCAACTTCTTGCAATCAAATTATGTATGCCTGGCATATAGTTCACTACAAATTCTAATCAGTTCTACCCTTCTAATAACATTATACAGAAAAATACATCATCATCCATCAACCAGATGGAGCATGATAGTTATACAAAACATATTGTATGTTTTTTATTTTCCACTATGAAAATGTGATAAAATTGTGCACTCTGGAATTAGAGATTATAAATGAATATTTTAGGTTCTGCAAATCTCTGTAAATATTTATTTGCAAAATATTATATATACATGTTTAATCATTAAAAAATACTACTTTATGCTGTGGGGGGGGAGAGAGATTTTACTGGCACAGACACAGGACTGCTGCCTCCTCGGCACAAAGATAGCAAAGTTTTGTTGTTAGTTTCCAGTGAATTACAGCCAAACTTTCTGTCTGTATCTCTCATGCCATGGAAACACTTGGGCACCCAAGGCCTGTTGGGAAAAGACAGTGTATCCCAAGGAATATGGTTATTTTGCTATGTTTCAGAAAGGTCCATATATTCATTTAACAGCAGTGGAAACATTTCAGCAATGCAAAGCTGCCATGGTGCTTTATGGGAGCTGTAGTTAGGTGCTGTATGTTCCCACTCTCTACAGCCAGCCTGCTGTGTGCTGCCATCATCTCCCACAACTTACATTGGTACTTGTGTTGTCCCTACAGAGCATCACGAGGGACTTCGCAAAGATGAGGGTGGATGCAAATCAACTGCTGTCTCACGTACAAAGTGATGGGCTTGGTGACATCCTTTTATTATGAGGGAATGAAGTAAGACACTTTCAACACCCAAGAGTTATAGAGGACTGTAAGAGAATGCAGTTGGTGCTAGCTTTCACTGCAAACTAGCTGTAATGCTGGGCTTTCTTAGTAGGCAGCCCAAAACGTTGAGACAGAAGTCAAAGATTGCTCTGGTGCTACAAGCCCTGCAACGGTAATGCTCCAGAAGTCATGGGGTAAACAGAGTGGAAGGCAGCCACTAAAACACCACACTGTGAACCAGACCAGTGGGGACACAGCGCCAGCAATGGTAGATGTGCCAGAGCATCTCAGATGGCTTTCCAGGGAGCCAGACTCACGACCTTTTGGCTGTAACACATTTGAGGCTCAACGTGCCTTATACAGGCAACTGTGAAGAGATAGGTCCTCTGTAGAAAAACCACAGCAAGAATAAATTTGTCTAAAGGGACAAGGCAGAATGTTTCAATACCTGATTCAATGGGGGCTTATATATCGCTCAAGAGGGGATGTGAACAGAAGAGTTGGCTGGGGCAGAAAGCAGGTGGCAGCTGATGGAAACAGTCTTGTCCAGAAACTGTAATCAGCTGTTGTGTTACTTTTTCTTTGCCCCTTAGGCCTGTCAAAGTAGGTCAAACTACTTTGGATAAGTTGGTAGAGATCCTTGAAAACTTACTCCCTCCTACCTTTATCCGTGTGGGCCATTTCCTTTCCGCAAAGTATGACATTTATACAAATTCACGTTGCTATTCTCCTACTCATGGGAGGAACATGGCGCAAATATCTAGCTGGGATCGAAGCCTACCTGCTGGCATGGTAATGGATCATGAGCAGCTCCATTGCTCTACAGATTTGCTTCCGCAAGGAATCGGGTTCATATATACCAATAAGGTTTCAGTCAAAAAATTTACAGTTGAATTTAACAGAGTATCAACTGCTGGCATGGCCTGGCCTGACCTGACCTATGCTAAAAAAGAGTTTTAAAAATGCTACCGGCTCATTGCTATGTATGCCTTCAGATTGAGCCCGTAACTCATGTTAAAATGACAGGGGAAAGGCAGCCTGACAAGGAAAAGCAAAAAACAGCCAATAAAAACACATTGTCAGTGCTATTGTAACAAAGCTGGCAAAGAAAATCAAAGGGTCTATTTTCCCTTTGTTTTCCATTAGACGGTGTTGCACGATCATCTAAATTGTGCTTTGATACCAGTATCAGCAATATTGAAAACATTTAAGAATATTCATAATGATAAATGATTTAGCTGTTCCCATTTGCAAAGAGTAATGCACTCCACACTCACCACCTATTTTGCTTGCAGGCTTTGTTAATTTGATAGAACACTTAAAAAAGAGGAAGAAGAAAGTAGTGTTTTATCATCCAAATGAGAAATATTCTTTGGTTAGAGAAGGATGACCTTGCTGATACAGTACCAAACTGAGACTTGGGACAGCCACCTCTGTTGACGTTATGCAATGATGTGATAAAATTTTCCCTGACTGACTTCCCCAAGAAAAAACTTTCACAAATCATTTCATAGTGGGGAATTTGTCCTGTATCATCACAGGCAAGGCACGCCTCCTGGCTGAGCTCTGCCTCCACAAGCCTCCTTTGCCTGCCACGTCTCTGGGCTCTTCACTTCCCTCTGCCGTCCCCACTCCCATCTCTCCTGACCAGGTCCAAGCAGTGCCAAGCCCCTACTCACACTTTGTCTGTGCCATAGCTCCGGTAGTCCACCGCTGCTGATACAGCCACAATCAGCGCAGGCATGCCGTAGCCAACCAAATAGAAGTACTTCCTCCGGGAGTGTTCGCTCTCAAAAACCTCCACCAGCATGATGTAGAGCTGCACCCCCTCCAGGAACATCCAGGTGAAAGCCGCCAGGAAGAAGAAGTGCAGGAGGGCAGCAAAGACAGCACAGGCAATCTGTGTGCAGATTCCAAAGGAAGAACTTTTTTTTCACTTGGAAAATATATGTAAACTATTTTAAAATAGACACATCTCTGCATATATAAATTACATTCAAAGATACAAAGGTAGGTATGTATACAATCTGGCAAATAAACATATAAAGGTGTACATAGTATAAGCACATTTTTACAATCTGCTTATTAAACATATACACGCACATTATTTACAAACAACACACATGCAGCCTCTGAAAACACAGCAGACATCAGCATTTGACTCCCAGCTAACAACCAGGGGCCCAAACCTGTGAAGACTCATGCATGGAATTAAGACAGTGCTGGAATATCTCACTGCATGGTCAAACATCCCATATACACTGAGATGAGAGCCTGTGGCAGGAGCAGAAAAGTGCTTTGCCTCTTACCGGCTGGTCAGTGCGGTTGATACCAATGAGGAAGAGGAGTTCTGCCACAAAGAGGCTGATGCACAAGTTCTTGTGAATCGTGTTGCGGTCGCTCTGCAGCCCACGGAAGAAGCAGAAGGTGAAGATGCAGATCAGGAGGCAGACTAGTGAGAGCAGGATGCCAACCCACGTGATAAAGTCCAGGAGCAGGTCATGGACTGCATCACTGTGCTGGAGATAAAACAACAACAAAAAAATCATCAGTCACGTGCTGCATGACTTCTAATCCATCCCAGACACAGACTGAGGTTGTCTGAGACCCTTCCCCAATATTTGTATCCACTCACCAAGCTGTGGGGACCTGTAGCAAAAAGACTAAATGGACCTAGACTTGAATCCTGCATCAAGAAAGCTGCAACTTGAAACACAGACTCCAAAGCGTCTGGCAAGCTGCAGGTGCAGGTGCCCTGAACAGACTCAGATCCGAAAATATCCTAGAAACAATGATGCTGTTGTTGAAAATGCTGAGATGTCAAAGCTGGTCTTGTGTGCAGCTCCATCTTTCACAAACACGGCAAAGGAGCGGACACACAGTATAAAGAACCATAGAACACTCTGATTTGAGTGTAAAAATGTTTCAAGCTAACAGCATCGTGGCGATTACAAACAGAAGTCCATTACAACCATTTACCAACAGTGAAAAAAGATTCTCTGTAAATATTCACAGAGAGGTATGAGCTTGGAGTCCTTAGGCAGAAAAGATTGCTTAAATGTCTCGGGTTTTTTTGTTTTTGTTTTTGTTTTTTTCTTCACCGGGGAAGGAGAAAGTAAGTTTGATTTTTCTTTTTCAAAGCTTGGAGCTATATTTTAAAACTCCTGGGAAGTCAGACTGATCCCTGGAATGCCACTCAGAAAAAAAGACAGACCTTTTCACATGGATTTGCTTTTGAATTGTAATAGAACAGTGATTTTAAGACAGCCTGGAGAGTGAGTGATTCCCCGTGATAAACTTGTAACGTGGTTTTATCCCAAAGCTGTGCAAACATGGCCATTGCAGTGGCAAAGTTAGGCAACCCAGCAACAAAGTTTTGTGAGGGGCACCATAGCTGTGCCTTGGCTCTGCTGATAAAACACCATTGGATCACTCCTAGGTTTAGACTGCGCGTTCCTCCCAGAAAGAGGAGGGGGGTGCTGGGACCCTGACACAGAGGGTATCCGAACACCTTATTCCTTATTCAGGCTGTAAAACTTGCCCGTAACTCCCCAAGTTTCCACCAGATGCAGTGAAATTAGAGATATCATTACTTAGTAAAATGTAAATAAGAAATGAGAAATACATGGACAAGACGACTGCTCAGGGCTAAGTGGTTGGAGTCAATAAGCTGAGGGAAATACTGGCTGGAAATCGCTGGGGGCTTTTCAAAAAAGACCAGAGAGGCTTGGAATTCAGCTTTGTGGTCCACCAAGCTGTGTTATAAGTGGTATTCACATTCCCCTCCACTTCTGGCATTTTGATGACTTAGGCATTATGTAGGCTGGCAAATAGAGTAGCGTCACACTTCAAAAAGCCAGGACAAGCTGGAAACATTTTCCTCCCCGTGGGATAAAAGCTTATGACAGATGGAGGGAAAAGGTGATTAATTTATCCATTTTCTTTGCCTGCTTGCCAATGATAAAGCCATATCAAATGTCAGGCCTTTCCTGATATACACTCTGCTATGTCAGCACCTGTGAGAAACAACTCAAACCTTTCAGCTCTTTGGCTTTATCAGCATGAGTGATAGGCATCAAATGATAATGAAAGATGGGGAGCGACTTTCCCCTCCATTTTTTCCATGCTGGAAGTTTTGTCTCCAGGGAGACCTGGAGGTAGAGAGATGAGGGCTCCTCTCACCAAATGCTCTTGCAGCTCTTCCTGAGTATTTCCAATAACTAAGGAACTAGAGATTGCAAGTCTAACAGAGAGAAGAGAAATCATTGTGTGCTTACTGTAGATCATGACAGAAATGCCTATTCCATCCATCTCCTCCAGCAGCACCCAGAAAATGGAGAAGATGAAGCCCGCGTCCTTTTCCTGGCGGCCGCGCATTGCTTTATGTCACATTCCAGGTCATTCATTCCTCTTAATTCAGTGCAAAAAAATGTTAATGCAAACCTTGCACTTTGCAAATCATTCTTTCTTTTGTCTAAGGCTGCTGGGGAGCAGTAGGACATCTCCCTGAACAACCCCACCAGCTCACCTGACTGGATTGCCCTGTCAGGTTGAAGTGACCAAGAGCTCTTGGGCTGGGTGAGCAAGGCACATAATGTGGGTGGATGCAAGGAGAAAGAAACCAGGCAGACTTTGGCCAGATGCATCCATCTCATCCAGATGTGGCCAATGGCATAGATTCATCTATCCCAAGACAAAGTTGGCCTGACACAGGGAAAGCTCTCCCAGGTCTTCTTCAACTACATGAGATGAATCTCACATGTGTCAATTCCTGTAGCTCTATCATGAAACCATAGCTCTGTTGACTTTAAGACACAATGCAGGAATTAGTGGTGTGTTTGCTCCTGGAGAGGGATTCTGCCATCCAGCTTCATGGTCTTCCTCAGGGAAGTGCCACTTGCCCAAGAAGGTCACCATACTTAGGAAGAAATGCAGACTTCATTGCTTTATTATTATTATTATCACTCTTACTACTCTTCTTTTTAATATTAATCGTAACAATAATACTGTTTTTATATACATAACACCCATCCCTGGAGTGCTGGGAAACAACCATAAAAACAACCTCTCCATAATTACAACCTCCCCCCTCCAAACTCAACAAACTCACAAAAGAACAAACAAAAAGGACTAATAACAATAAACAGGGAACAAGAGCAATTTAAAAACCTCGGGGGAAAAATATGAATTTGTAGCTTTTCTAGTAAAGTCCAAGAGAAGAAGTGAGCTGGATTTCAAAGGCTGGGTGCGCTTCGTCCTGTTTGGGATGTCCAGTTTCAGGTGCCACAGCAGAGGAGGTCAGGGAGGAGGTTGGTAAGCACTAGCATCCTTCCCATGGCGGTGCCAACTATCCCCAGGGCAGGCACATCCAGAGCTTTTACACCAGCAAATCCAACAAAAGGGAATTTGCCTTTTGCTGGAGACTGAAACTTGTAAAGTACTGCACTGCCACAGGCCACAAAGCAGAATGATATGGGAAAAGGAGGAATCATGGTAATCACTCCTCAATGCCCTGAGATTATCCTTGCCATCACCCGATTGCTATGTGACAAATAAGATAGTAACATACTTGGTTTACACAGTTGGTATATGGTGTTCCAGGGTTAAGTATGCTAAATAGCACACCAGGATTTTGTACCTAGGTTGCAGTGTCCGAGCCTGATCCCTCAACCAGAGACATGCAAGAGGAGCAAATCTTCTCTTTACCGTGCTCAGCACTGTTCAAGCACTCCCTGACTGAGGACAAAATAGCCTTGATGTATGTGCTAATGATATCCTCCCAGCACCCCGCAAGCCCTAGGGTTCCTAAGGCATGCAAAATACATCTGAAACCACCAGTGTATCGGTAACAGTCAACTCTTGCTTCTTGATAATCTCCCCAAAGACCTGGGCAACTGGAAGAGCTCATGGGAGATACCAGACATCAGTCCAAAGGACAATTTCTTGACAGCATCAATCAAACATCTCCTTGCCCAACTGCACCATGACTGTCAAGACCGGTGCAACATGGCCCAGCATGGAAGCCACTGAGCTTTGTTACCACTAAGCTATGCTAGCTTTACAGGTAAGCTGACATGCAGATTATTTTTAGCACAAGAATGACTTACTGAATAATTGAAAGAAATAAAATAATCCACTTCAGTGAAAGGGTTTCTATATTAAGTACATTTTACATTTATGATTTAGGCATGAGTCTGACCCAAAGCCTAGTGAAAGATTTCCCTGGCTTTGGAATAAAGCCTGGCTTTTGCTCCACTGGGGCCAAGAGTGGCAGGAGGAGAGTGCTGATGGAAACCTATGCAGGAGGAGTTACGGGAGCCCTGGTAGCAACCACAGTGGGGTAAGTAGGCAGCCTAGATATTATCCAGGCTGGGAAAATCAATGAGCAGCTCTGGCAGCGCTTGTACACCAGAGCTGAGCTAATAAAAACAAATCCCAGGGAATGTCAGCTTATGACAGAATGGCTCTCCCCGAGATGAACAGCCATTTCCTCCCTTATTAAAAACATCAGTAGAAGAAAACAGCAGCCAAACCAATCTGCCAGCAGCAAAGGACACATTCCTTTGCCTAATCTGTCCCTCCAGGAATGGAAAGAGTAATATGTTTGGGGGTGGAGGAATAAGCAAGCAGTAAATAAAAAGAGTGTCATCAACTACCTCAGATATGATCGCTCGGTGCCTGGTGGGAGCTGGTAGTGTGCTGGACTGGGCAGAGACCCAAGTGGGACAGGTTTGAACTCCTGCGCATTGCTGATGCTGCTCCTTGGATTTGTAGCAATCTGGGGCTGTGGGGGCTCCCTCTGCCCTTTTTCCTCCGTCACTGGTGTTGAGAGGGGATTACTGCTATGACCTGGCTGTAATGCTTCGTGGCTAAGTGCAAAGGGTTACTTAAGGAGCAAATGGTTTTGCAGATGTGCCAAAAGCATCAGCTGGGCTACATGGACCAGGAGGAAACCCCAAGGGCTCCTACAGTGTGTCTGGGCTGGCTAATGGCATCACCTGCCATGGCTATGCAGGCATGAGAGGTTTTGAGGGGGCTTTCCCCTCTCTGTGGCCAAAAGGGATATGTGCTGGGGGAACCCCACTGCTCTAGCACCCGTCCTCTCCTTCTTGCCCAAGGATGCACCGAGGGAGGAAGGCAGCTCTGCTCCACAGCGGACACAGCACCCACGGTCCTGGTACATTTTCCCTGTGTGCTCTGCAAAGGCGATGCTGTCATGGGCAGCATCGGGTCCTAACCCGGGAAAAAAGAGAGCTTAATTCCCACCTGAAGCCCCTGTGCAACATCACTGTCTTCTGACTATGGTCATTTAAAATGGCTCAGGTCCCCAAGTGCTTCTGCAAGGTGATTTAGCCACCTTTCCTCTCCTTGCTTTAGTCCTCAAAGGTGCCTTCATATCCTGCATGGGCGACACAGACCATCTTCCTCCTCCCCACCATTCTTGGCAGAATCCTTTCCCACAAACTTCTCCCCAAAATGCAACAGCCTTCCAGTGACTGCCAGAAGCAGCAGCCAGTGC